AGATGTGAACGTGGTCCTTGGACGGACTACGAAGTGCTACCAGGTGTGACGGGGCACCCTGAAGCTTGTACTGGTGACAGTACAAGTGACAGTACAAGCTACTTATTCTGATGACAGAATAAGGCGGTGCCCTCGGAACTTCACGTACACTCGTACGTTTAGAGGAAGACGGTAAGAAGAAGCGAGTACTTGGTTAAAGTAAAAAGTAGAACTGTATTCAGTATAGTTAATGTCTGTTACTATAATCACTATTTATCCTCATCTAACTATGTCTGAATACAAATGTGCATATCAGCTATCTGCTCACCACTCATTGCGTGCGTCTGTCGTGGCGCGTCTTCGTTGGTTGATATAATGGCCTATATCAACCAATTAGGAACTACTCGTAAGTGCTACAGAATATTTGTCCTTTGACAATATTCTGAGAATTTAACTCTGATAGTTATATTCTATTAACAATTTCTTACAAATTGTTATGTAACGATTCACCCCGTTACAGATGGCATCTTGCCGTTCGCTTGTGAATCAGAGGGCGAGAGTTCTCGCTCTCGATGTAACAGAGGTCACAGGTTTGGGACCTCCTGTTTCATGTCGTCTCATCGGACGATAGTTGGATGGGTTTGCCTGAGAGTGTTTCAGGCTGAAGTCCTCCTGTTACGCGTACGCTGTCACCTTTTCCAGCGTATGGAAGTCCTCTAGGGACATGTAGGTCGTTACCGGTCCATGTACAAGACCGTAGATGAATACGTTGATAAGCGTGTTCTCATAAACAGGGTTTTCCGTGACGCTACGTACAAGGAACCGTAGGAGTTGTACATAATCGTGCACATCACGCTAACCCTTTTTGAGCCCCAGGAGAGCAGAGCGTGCTCTGAGCTCGGCTCTGGGCGGCTCAAACGTCTCTTTGAGCCGAGACTCCAAGATCCCCAACGATTGAATCACGGCTGGGTCGTGAAGATTGAACCCTAAGGCTTAATTCTTTGCTCGTCTGGTCAAATTTGACAGGGCGAAGGTGACTTGCATCTTGTCACCCTCGATGTGACGGGCCCTAATGGCATCGCCTAACTAGACGAACCATCTCAAAAGGGATTCTTCATCGGTTCCCTTGTACCTTGAGATATCAATCTTCAAGGTTTCGGGTCGATGCATGTGCGTTGGCGCGCCCATCGACTGATGAGAGCCTTGCTGCTGTAGCAAGGCTATCATATGTCTTTCGACGGCAAGTTCCCCTTGTAGAAACTTGTTGATAGCAGCGTGTTGATGGTCTCTGCTTAGAGACTCCAACATACCACTCATGGCGGGTTCTGCCATGAAAACACTCATGCGACGGACTACCTTCCATTCTGAGTCACTCAGATGGGAGTAGCTTGTGACGTAAAAGCTATCGTCTTCTACGTCCAACATGTTCATGCTGGACGGACACTAAGTAGTCGTTGGAAGGACTACAAAGTGCTACCAGGTTTAACGGGGCACCCTTTTTTTTGGCAGCTACGAATCTTCACGTTTGCTCGTACGTGCAAATAAAGCTAATATACTTGAATGACTCGTTTAAGTAAAGGTGGAAAGAGAACTGTATCCAGAATAGTTAAGCTATCAATATAACTTCAGTCTTTATCAACCTTATTTAATATATGTTGTCGTATGACGACAACCTGCCCACCACCCATTGCACGCATCTAGCAGCGACTGATGGCATTCTATGGTTGACATATCTTTTATCGACCAATCTTCGATCAGCTCGTGAACAAGATCATAAGGGGATATTATTCCTTCAATATTGCCTATCTCAGATAATTTTGGCAGGAGATTGTCACGCTAGACAATCCTTCTGTGACACCGTTTGGTGTCAGTCTCATGTAACGGGCTACCCTGTTACGATCTTGAAGATCGCAATAACCTTGGGTTTATCTGATTAATCTATTGTTTGGATCGTTCTGATCTTACTTGGTCAAGTATGGTGGCTCCTTGTTAGATTTTCTTTTTTTAATATTTAGAAACTTCGTTCTGTTTGTACTTTTCCTTTACGTTGTATCAGTATTAAATTAAAGTTGCAGAATGTCGAGAATTTTATATTTATTCAAAAGTTTTGTAGATATCACTTAAAGCTGTGGCCTCTTAGACCTTATGTTGAAATTTTGCTCGATGGAGAAGTCGAAACGTGATAATTCAAGCAGCTGTAACTCTTTTTGTTGAGCAGCCAAATAAGTACCCATAATGTTACCTTGCCTATTCACTGCAGGATAACCTTCAACGAATTACACTTTACGATACTACCTTGTTAATAAAGTGTCGAAATCTCTGCAATTTTTATGCTGATTATCACAAAACTGGGGGTCACCCGAAATGTTGCAATTTTCATATTATTACTAGATCTAAGGGTGCAATTAAATCCAGATTATTGAGATCTATCAAAATATTTGAATAAATTCAACACCGCGACAAATATGTCTCAATAAACTTTGTGGTATCAAATCGGACATCTCAATATATTTTCGGGACTGAACCTTTTATTGATGCCATACCCTCCTCCAAGTAATTCGATAACCGATGTTAGGATTTCACCAAGTTCACTCGTATTTCTAATCGACCGCAACACTGATCTCGAATGTATTTTTAAAACAATTTCGGGAGCTAGGATACGGATTACCAATTCCTTTCCACGATGTCGGCATAATCGTCTAGCACGTTGTTTTAAAATCTACCTACCCGTCCCATATTTGACGTTACGATTTAACTCGGTTCACTTCCAGATTGAATCGGGACAAATAGGATCCCCGATCTCACTATTCTTTTTTTAACCATTGAGATCGCCGTCTTATTTATCACAGTCACGAACCATCGATCTCAGGGTCAGCTAGGTGGATCTTGATTATACTATAGTGGACCTGTTGGGACGATCTGAGTGTCGTCTGCATGATGTACGGTCCCCAATTGAGGACTTGTACTTCAAAGCCATCCATCAAAACGAAACCGGTTGTAGTTTCCTGTGCTTTTCTGCTAATAAATCAACCCCTGATTTATCCCCCCATTACGTAGACAAGGCAGACACCGCCATTTTGTATCGTGCCTTAATCACATTGCTTGGATTTTGACCACCTTGTACATCCGTCAATTGGAATGGATTGAGCTTTCCATAGCGTCCTTGGGAGATGTCAATCACGCTCGGTATTTAGATGACTAAATGACCGCTGCGCGAGAATCTTCACACAGCGATATGGTATAGGTGTGATCTCAATTTCTAGATCGACCGTTCGGTTGCCGCAGATACTTCAACCCATTAACCTTGTCGTGCATCCAATCAAAATGATTTTTTGACTGAAAAAATCGTTCGCAATACCTAATCCTGGAGATAGGCCCTACGATCAGATTCGTCTATCTAAAACGATCGGCTCGCACGCGCTTGACGCTTCTGATCCTTGCTCGAGCCCTCAGGTTGGTCTTTCGATCTCTTCTTTCAGATAAATCAACCTCACCGAGGTCGGCTGTCCAACACTTACACCCGCCTTCAATCGCAGTTGTTTGTTTCCTACGTGTTCTTAAGAACCCTGGTCAAACAATCCAAAAGCTGACATTGTCTTAAAAGCTGAGCGCGCGTGCTTAGCAACGACATGTAACCCCTGTTTCGAAAAAAATTGCTTCGGCTTCCCACTTCATTGATTCGGTGAGAAGCCAAACAAATCTCACCCAGAAGAGAGGGTCAGACGTCGTTGCTAAAACATATCAAATTAAACTCTGTGTCTTATTGAATCAAGGTTTTATAGTGCGTGTAAAAATCCGTTTAAATATTACGAATACTTCTTACACTGCTGCCAAAAGTGAGCACATGATAAATCTTAACATCCAATACCGCGTCCTGGGAACACGTGTCAAATACCTGGATTACATTCTCCAGTATTGGCGTCAGTATCCATATGTTGTGAGTGTGACAAATATCGGGCAGTTGATACAAATATTGCGTTCAAATACTCAGTCCGGTTTTTTTACAATAAACTTAAACCATTTTTCCAAATATAGGATCTAAACCCACTCTTAGGTCATGCAAAAATTTGGTCAAAATTCAACCTAGCCAAGTTTTTGCCGTCAGTTGGTCTTCAACGACTATATTTCTTGATATTGTCTTACAAAAATAACCTCTGAGATCATCATCTGGTACACTCATGGTCACTGAATAGGCGCATACCTAGTCTAGGTAGATAATACGACCATCCTCCAACACAAGTTATTGCAATAATAGGAGACTGTTAGGTTTGTTGATGTACGATCCCCATTCAGGCGTCACCACGATCCTCTTCTCTTAGTCCTATTGAACTTTCACTGTTCATGATGTGTCAATACACTGAACATTAAGATCCAACGATCTTTGTTTACCTTCATCCTCTCAATCGATCGGCCGCTGTATTCAATCACCTGCTTACACATTTTTCGATTCTTCATACCAATTCCACTTCGGTCCTTCCAAATTTTTAATAACGTAAGTGTTTGCGTCATTGAGGAAGTCATGTAACGGTATGAATCGTTATATAACAATTTATACGAAATAGTTAACAGAATATAACTATACGAGTTGTATTCTCAGAATATTGTCATAAGGACAAATATTCTGTAGCACTTACGAGTAGTTCCTAATTGGTTGATATAGGCCATTACATCAACCAACGAAGACGCGCCACGACAGATGCACGCAATGAGTGGTGAGCAGATGGCTGATATGCACATTTGTATTCAGATATAGTTAGATGAGGATAAATAGTGATTAAATTAACAGACATTAACTATACTGAATACAGTTCTACTTTTTACTTTAACCAAGTACTCGCTTCTTCTTACCGTCTTCCTCTAAACGTACGAGTGTACGTGAAGTTCCGAGGCACCGCCTTATTCTGTCATCAGAATAAGTAGCTTGTACTGTCACTTGTACTGTCACCAGTACAAGCTTCAGGGTGCCCCGTCACACCTGGTAGCACTTCGTAGTCCGTCCAAGGACCACGTTCACATCTAACATGAATATGTTGGATGATGAAGATGACCAAAGCTTTCACGCTACGCGTGACGGCTACTCCCATTTGAGCGATGTCGAATGGGATGCGGTTGAACGGATGGGTTCAACCATGGGAATCCATGCTGTTAGCGTCATGCTAGAGGCTCTCAATAGAGATGCCCAACATGCTACTATCGCCAAGTTCATTCAAAATGAACTTGACGCTGAACGCGAGAAAGTAGCCTTGCTTCACCAACTAGGTTCTCAACAAGCAGAGTTGTTGAGAGAACAGGGTGCTCAACATTTTGAATTGTTGAGACAGCAGCAGGCTGCTGCTGGTGGGTCGATGCACTCGCGTCGACCCGAAACCTTGAAGATTGACATCTCCAAGTATAGGGGAGTCGAAGAGGACTCCCTCTTGAGATGGTTCGTCGAATTGGATGAAGCCATAAGGGCGCGTCGCATCGACGATGGGGAAATGCAAGTTGCATTTGCCCAGTCAAATCTGGCAGGACGTGCCAAGACTTGGGCACTGGGGCTCAAGTTGCACGACCCATATGCGTTTGGGTCGTTGGAAGTCTTCACCGCGGCTCAGACAAACGTTTGAACCGCCTAGAGCTGAGTTCAGAGCTCGAACAGAACTCTTGAAGCTTAGACAGGGTAAGCGTGATGTGCACGCTTACGCGCAACATATACGACATCTCACGAGTTGTATAAGTTCCAATCCGGTGGATGAACACACGTTGGTTTCGGTGTTCATGCAGGGTCTTGCGGATGGTCCCGTCAAGACTCACCTGTTCCGACTTGAACTAGATTCACTAGAACAAGCCATTTCCATTGCGGAACAGGAAGACTTCAGTCTGAGATAGGCTCGCGCCAGCTCGACATCATATCGTCAACCGAGACGATATGACAGCGGAGGTCCAGAGCCGATGGAACTCTGTTATGTAGAGAGCGAGAAGGCTCGCTCTACAGACTACAAGAACTTGCAGAAATGCAATAGATGTCAAAAGACAGGACACTACGCTTACGAGTGTAGTGCCCCTCGTCCAGTGTCTCGCAACACTGGGCGTAATGACCGTCCACCCATGAGAAAGGGGCAGGGACGCGGGTCCGCTGTTGGTGCAAAGACGCAACAACGGGATGGACCGTAAAAAAAACGGACAGGATCAGTAGGTGTGGAGCACCCTACTGGTCCAGCAACGTCAAGAGAATTTGTGGGCCTCTTGATGAAGGTTGCTCCCAACACACAAACGTTGTGCGTTGCTGCTCTAGGTAATGAGGTCTCACTCATTACCTTGAAACTCGAAGTGACGAATAAGTTTTCCCTTCGAGCTCTAGTCGATTGTGGGGCGTCCAACAATCTTGTGCAACGCCAATCGCTAGAAGATGGTCACTTTAAATTCAGTGAATGTGACACACCTCCTACGAGGATGACGGTACGTCTTGCGACAGGCGCATCCGTAACTGTCATGAAGCGTATAGTGAAGATCCACTATACGCTAGAAGATATCCAATATGACGATGACTTTATCGTATTGGATTTGGATGACAAATTTGATGTCTTCCTTGGAATACCGTGGCTCAGAAGGTACGAACCACGGGTAAACTGGCAACATCGAACAGTAACGATGCCTGCCGCATATTCATAAGATGGCCACCTGATGAACGTTTTGGAGCGTCCACAAGCGTGTGGATGTACTACGAGTGAGTGCGATGGCCTCACTTGTGGTACGGTCGTTAGTACGACTGCACAAAACCTTATTGTACCAAACGGTTACACTTCGGAGCAAAGTTCCGGCGGCTGTGAGGAAACACAGGCTGCGCCGAAGGTCCACCACTCGAATAAGTCGAGTGGACCGGGACAAAGATGTATCCCTAGCGGGGAACATCTAGAAGAGAAACAATCGATCGTCAGGTTAAGCGAAACGATAATCCTAGATCGACTGGAGAGTCTTTCGTAGAGGATCTCGCTGTGGTTGCGCAACCACAGCTAGAGGAAGTTAAGGGAATAAGTCCCAAGATTACAAAATACGGCGGAAATAAGTTCCCCGAAACCCGCGGGAATAAGTCCCCGGGAAGACGAAGGAATAAGTCCTTCGAGGCCTGAGGGAATAAGTCCCCAGGAAACGACAGAGACATTGATTGTCATAGTCAATAACGGATCAAGTGTAGGCGCTTATACACTCGATCTGATTGCGCCTCCGAAGTTGACTTCGGAGATCACTCAGTTGCCAACTCTCGAACATAAAAGGTTCTTGCGTGATCTGCGTAGTGGCAAAGTCAAGCAGATCTGCGTACTCGTCGCTGACGACGAGTGTGTAGCCGACATAAGGTCAGCAACAGTGTTCACTGAGAACGAGAGAGTTCTCAGTAGTTCATCTATGGACGAGAGTGTCCTAGATGAAAAGACACACGAGTTGAGCGATATGACTCCCAATCGTGGGAATCGCTCAAGACAAATCCTCTCTATGAAGATTTGGTTGAATTCAAGAATGTATTCCCTGAAACTGTTCCGTGCCAATTACCGAAGGATAAAGGTATTCGACACGAGGTCGAGCTTAAACCAGGCTCGAAGTACTGTGTCATGAAGCAGTGGCCACTGCCCCGTGAACAAGTACTTGCGATCGACAAGTTCTTTGCCGATCGTTTAGCTTCGGGCCATGTGAGGGAATCAACTTCCCCACATAGCTCTCCGACCTTCTGTGTTCGAAAAGCAACAGGAGGCTGGCGGATAGTGCATGCATTTAACAAGTTGAATGCTGCAACGGTACCGGCTCAGACGCCGATACCAAGGAAGGACGTAATCATTGATGGTATGTCAAAGAGTACCATCTTTTCGTCCATGGATTTGATGGATGGCTTCTATCAAATCCTAATGCGAGAAGGGATATACCCTATACCGCAGTGAGCACGCCTAGTGGCAGGCTCTGGGAATGGCTAGTAATGCCACAAGGGCTTAGTAATGCCCCTGCCACGTTCAACAGATGTGTATCACATCTGTTGAGACCAGTACGAGAATTCGCGCCGAGTTATTTCGATGACGTATTCATTCATAGTCGAGCTATGGATGGATGGAAAGTCGGACGTTGAGGTTCACAGGTACCACGTCCGACAGGTCTTACAATCATGCGAAAAGCATCAATTGTATGCAAATCTTAAGAAGTGTATATTTGCAGCAAGCGAAATACCACTTCTTGGGTGCATCGTTGGTAAGAACGGTGTGCGTCCTGATCCCGAAAGATCAAGGCGATCACCGACTGGCCTGTGCCAGTTGATGTCAAAGGTCTTCAAAAATTCCTTGGGCTAGCGGCGTATTTGCACAAGTATTCACGCAATTACGCCGAGATGACTATGCACCTCTCTCGTTTGTTGAAAAAGAACGAGAGGTGGTTATGGAACGCTGAATGTCAGCGCTCCTTTGATGGTATCAAGCAGAGCTTGATACAATCCCCAGTCCTAGCAATAGCCGATCAGGACAGGCCATTTCATGTGGTCTGTGATGCCAGCGATTTCGCAATCGGCTGTGCATTAATGCAGTACGATCTTGAAGGCGTTGAACGCGTCGTCTGCTATCAGTCGCGTCAGCTGCAACCAGCTGAGCGGAACTATCCAGTGCATGACAAGGAACTCTTTGCCATGAAGTATGCACTTGCGAAGTTCAGAGTCTATCTAATAGGAGATAGCCCCTTCATTGTTTACACTGACCATGCGTCATTGCGCACGGCAGTGAACAGCCCGCACCTTTCCCAACGAATGGCGCGGTGGTTTTCATTCTTTGCGGAATACAACTTTACGGTCGAGTACAAACCAGGACGACTTAATGTCGTCGCTGATGCACTCTCACGTCGTCCAGACTTTGAAACAGTCGCGAAACCCAACAGTGAGACAGTCACTGTTGCAGTTATGACGTCCGCAGTCTCATCTTCAACGTTGCATGATGATGTGAGGCGGGCATACGCCCAAGATGGTGAGATTGTGAAGTTGTTGACACATCTCTCCCAACCATCTCGAGAATCGTTGAAACGGTTGTCGTCTGCGTATCGATCTGCATCAGATCGATACACTACTCGTAACGGTTTACTGTATTATACAGCCGTTTCTGGTGACACACCACGTGTTGTCATTCCAGATGATACTGATCTGCGTTTGCGGATCATGTTCGAGTATCAAGATGCTCCTCCAGGAGGACATCGTGGCCGGGAGAAAACATTTCTCACGGTGAGTCGAGACTTTTACTGGCCCCGCCAGTATCAGTTTGTGCGAAAGTATGTTCGCGCATGCGAAGTCTGTCAACGAGTGAAGTCAAGTCCTTCACTGCGTGCACCTTTACAGTCTACCGGTTACGGCTGAGTGCTGGGAATCCATCTCAATGGATTTTGTCTTCGGGTTACCCAAAGACGCACGCGGGAGTACGGGTATTCTCGTATTTGTTGACAGATTCAGCAAAATGGTACACCTAGTGGCTGTACCAGAGACAATCACGGCAAGTGGCTGTGCTTGTGTCTTTATTGACACCATCTTTCGACTTCATGGGTTGCTCCGTGAACTCGTATCAGACAGAGATTCACGCTTCACTGCTGATTTCTGGCGTTCCGTGTTCAAATCACTCGGAACGCGCTTGAAGATGTCGACATCTGATCATCCAGAGTCAGATGGTCAGACGGAACGTGCCAATCGTGTCCTCGAAGAGATACTTCGAGGATACGTACACTCCTTTAAGAGTTGGAGTGATTTTTTGCCAATGGTAGAGTTTGCCATTAACAACTCGGTGCATGCGTCCACGACACATACACCGTTTTACGTGAATGGCTTGCGCCATCCGCGTGTACCCACCTTACTAGAGTGTAACTCTGGTTCAAGGGGGGGGACTCGCGCTAGCAAAAACCGAATTGGTTCACGCTCATCACGCTCTGACGAAGAGGTCATTGCGTTTGATGCCGATATCGATAACATCGATATTGAAGAAGATGATGCCAGTGAGAGTGCGGAAGCCCTCACTGAAGAAAAGATTGATGTTGCTGCAGTGCACTCACAGCGCACTGAAGCTAACGAGTCATCAGATGAGTTCATACTGGCTCGTGAAACGGTAGTCCGTTTTGTGCAAGACTCCATCGCCGAAGCGGTGGATAAGCAAAAAGCAAAACGCTGACAAGAATGGAAGGGCAAACACTCTTTTATTTAATAAAGGTGACTTAGTCCTACTGTCTACGGTTAATGTACCAAAGCATGTAGTGACTAACTTGGGTAGCAGTAAACTACTACCCAAGTACATCGGCCCATTTCGTGTATTGCACCGCCTAGGCAATGCATACACGATCGAGTTACCACGTAAGATGCGAACGCATCCCACGATTTACGTTGGTCGGCTTAAGCCGTACCATCAGTACGCTGCTTCTTCCGATGAAGAACGCCCTTGCGCTCAAGCATCTTGCAGAGAGCCTTGTGCTCCCGATGGTGGGCGTCGACAAGGGTCTGAAGAGCAGTTATCTCAGCCCGAGACCGGTCAACATCCCCACGATCTACACTTAGCTCGTCACGAAGAGATGTCAGAGATCTCTCGTTCTCAAGCTGAGCAAAGGCAAACTCAGCTCGATGCTTCAAGACAGTGTCCGCCATTTGGAGACGCCTGTCCTGCTAATGTTCGAGATCGTAGCGTAACGCTTGCGTTACGCGATCAAAGAAGCTCTCGGGAACACACGGATCCCCATGATCGTGTGGAGAGCGTCTTCCCTCCTCCTCCACCTCCATTAGAGGACTCTCGCGGTGGCCAGCGCTATCTAGTTGAGCAGCTGTTGAACCACCGCGACGTGAACGGACGTCGGACGAGTTATCTCGTCCGGTGGCGCGGCTATCCCCCGTCCTGGGATACTTGGGAGCCCCGCTCCCAGCTGATGGTTGACGTCCCTGGGTCTGTACGAGCAGTACGATGCGGCACATCCTGTGCCGCAGAAGGACCGCCGGAGAAAGTCTTCCCGGCACGGTCGTAAAGGGATTTCATGTTGTCAATCCCTTCGTACATCTCAGTAGAGACACGTACGCGCCACCACGGGCTGGTAAGGAGGTAAGCCTCCTTAGGTGCTCGTGCAGAGTTGTTCACACAACATGAGCACGAGTCTCCCCATGAGAGGCAGGGGTAATCCTTTTTCCCTTGATAGACGATGCAGCTCGTAGCGTGCACCTGTCGGGGTTCGCTTTTCAAACTTATCACGAGCTTTGATAAGTTTGTCGTTCGAAGCGTCACGACCTACATCCTCAAGGTTATGGATGTAGGCGTTCCACGCCTGAAGCAGTGAGGGACCATCACGTTTGTGATTCCCACTGTACCATCGATGTCTAAACAAAATATCGATGAAGAATTCATTCTCAGCCCGATAGTTTTTCGCGCTGGGGTCAAGGTGATGGATCCTTGATGTAACGGGGTGAATCGTTACATAACAATTTGTAAGAAATTGTTAATAGAATATAACTATAAGAGTTATATTCACAGAATATTGTCGTAAGGACAAATATTCTGCAGCACTTACGAGTAGTTACTAATTGGTTGATATAGGCCATTATATCAACCAACGAAGACGCGCCATGACGGACGCACGCAATGGGTGGTGAGCAGATAACTGATTTACACATTTGTATTTAGACATAGTTAGATGAGGATAAATAGTGATTAAATTAACAGACATTAACTATTATAAATACAGTTCTACTTTTTACTTTAACCAAGTACTCGCTTCTTCTTACCGTCTTCCTCTGCACGTACGAGTGTACGTGAAGTTACGAGGCACCGCCTTATTCTGTTATCAGAATAAGTAGCTTGTACTGTCACCAGTACAAGCTTCAGGGTGCCCCGTTACAATTTCCGTGCTGAAGAGAAACTAAAGGAAATGATCTTCCACTGCTACCGATAAATGCCGTGACCTTGACCTCTTACTATTTCAAGGTTTTCAGATCAAAACCACTCACACTTACTGTCTGCGAAATGCGCGACTTTCTCGCTGCCTCTGAGTGTCTAGCATTTGCTTCTTAGCACTCTGTCCGCCCTTTTCATCACTTTAAGCCAAACATGCGCGAGTGTAAACATTACATCCTTGCAGTCACAAATTAGTGACCTCATCAAAGCGTGATGCCTAAATAGAGGGCACAGACTACGAAGCACTTAGATTGACGTGAAAGGTACACCAGGCGTTAATTGCACACCGGCAGACAAGCGCAGATAAGTACGGTTTAAAACGCTCGGCATCCACCTTGCGCAGAGTCAATAAAAACTCCACCCTTCGGGCTCGCAACAAGCGGGATGTACCGATATTCTCAGTGTTCGAGTTACGAGAGAGAAAGGGTGCTCCAATTGTACAATTGAAGGTAAAGAGTATGTGCACGACTTTGGAATACATTAAGTGTAACATGGCACCCTTTGTCCAGGTGCCACGAAACTTCACGTACACTAAAACGTGCAGAGGAAGCTAATCTACTTGAACGAATCGTTCAAGTAAAGGTAAAAGATAACTGTATTTAATATAGTTAAGCTATCAATTTAACTTCAGCTTTTATCGAACTGTATTAAACTACACCGTCGTACGACGACTACCTGCTCACCACTCATTACGCGCGTCTAGCAGCAATTGGTGGCAATCTATGGTTGACATATCTTTTATCGACCAATCTTCGAGCAGCCGGTGAACAAGATCATAAGGGGGTTGATCCTTCAATATTGCCTATCTCAGATGATATTGGCAGGAGATTGTCACGCTAGATAATCTCCCTGTTGACACCGTTTGGTGTCAACATCATGTAAAGGGCTACCCTGTTACATCACCCCCTCTCTTTCAATATCATTCACCTGTATACAAAATCACATTTGTTGGGGACAAGGTGATCATTGTTGGATCACTCTAGGAACGGGAGCACTTGTTGGTCAAGTTCCGACTCATTTGCCAATTGATTGCATGGTTTTGAAATCCATGCCATGTGCTGCTGAAGCAGCCTAGAAGGAGCTTGCACGCATGCGTGCAGCCAAAGAGAGCACTTCTCAAAGCTTCAGCAGCACGTGCTAATTAGTCTGCTGTTTAAGTGAGCAAACTGTTAAAGTTAGCAGAGCGTTGAAGTGAAGATGACTGTTGGTCGAAGTAGCAAAACCAAAAGTGAATTATGTTTTGAGTGCCAACTCGTTCCTACCGTTGCTACTCATCCTTCCGATCCATTCTTCATGCTACCCGTCCCATCAATGCAGCAAATCCTTTCCCATGTTCCTTTCCCATGTTCCGTTCCTATAACGGGATCTCTGATGTGGCACACAGCTTTCCGTGAATCAGCTTGTTCACAGTCGAGTATGACACGTGTCCAAGTCGGCGGTGCCACAGTTCAGCTTCACCCTCCACCATATGGCATTGTGGACTTTCTTCGACATTTAGATTGATAAGCATACCACATCGCTTTCCTGTCGCGACGATTCGCCCGCTCTTTAAAACAGTGCACCCGTCGCTGGTGATTTCAACCGTCATCCCGCGTGCAGTAGCTGATGTCACTGAGAACAGGTTCTTGTTGAGATCTTGCACGTGTAGTGTATTTTCCAGCCGGGCATTAATCCACAATGTGCCATTCCAAACACGCAAGATCACCGTGCCTTGTCAAGCACCTTTAAGCTTGCACTGTTTTTCGCGCTTTTCACATTGCGTGTCGTCGGTGATGCTGTATATTCGATAAACGCGTCTTTGTCCTTGCACATGTGCGCCGTTGCGTCGCTGTCCATGATCCAGCAGTCGCTCATATTTCCTTGAGTGACTGTGAACGCCACATTCGAGTGATCTTCTTGTCTCTCGCCATTAGCAGCTTTCTTTTTCCTGCAGTCTCGCGCGTAGTGTCCGCGCTTACCACAAATAAAAGCACTGAACACTTGACCCTGTCTTCCGCGGACCACCGCTAGTTTTGTTAAAGCTTTTCTTCTCCTGTCGTTTGCCAACATGTAGCGCTGTCTCGTTTTCAATGCGCGTCGAATCCTTCTTGCGCACTTCCTCGGCGATCAGCTTGCTCACCAGATCTTTAAAGCTGAATTGTGTGACGCTCATGCGAAAAGCCTGCACCAGTCCCTCGTATTGCGCCGGGAGACTTCGCAGCAACGTTGCACACGAATCTTCTTCACTTGGTCCACACGAAGCTCCATTCATTTCCAGCACGAGCCGCTCCAGCTCCATAACGTGGGCGCTCATGTCCGATGCCGCAAACTTGAATGTCGCAAACTTCTCCTTTAGCCACAGCCGACTTGCCATGTCTTGGGTCCGATAAACTCGCGCGAGTGCTCCCCATGCTTCGCATGCACTACTCGTTGTAATGACATGCATGAGCTGAGTATCGCTCAAGTTGAGCACGATTGCCGCATGCGCCTGCTGCTCCTTCGCCTCGGAGACGCCAGATGTGGCGTTAACCGCTTCCCATAACCCCTTGGAGATGAGGTACATCTTCATCTTGAACGCCCATAACGGATAGTTTGTGCCGTCAAACTGTGCCACCTTGGGCGTGGAGTCGTTACTTGGGCTCACAACCTGTTAAAGTTAGCAGAGCGTTGAAGTGAAGATGACTGTTGGTCGAAGTAGCAAAACCAAAAGTGAATTATGTTTTGAGTGCCAACTCGTTCCTACCGTTGCTACTCATCCTTCCGATCCATTCTTCATGCTACCCGTCCCATCAATGCAGCAAATCCTTTCCCATGTTCCTTTCCCATGTTCCGTTCCTATAACGGGATCTCTGATGTGGCACACAGCTTTCCGTTGACACACAAAATGGGGGACGTCACTGTCTGGCAGGACAGTGCTGGTGAACCCCAAACACCAGGACCAGGTTTAACTTTTGCTGCCGGGTATCGAACCAGTGACCTCTATGTTACGGCTTCCACACATAACCACTTGAGCTACAGCAAGCTTGGTCTACATGTAGTACTACTGATACTAACCTCTGACCCATGGACACACTAATCCATCCTAATGTCCATATCACACATGTCGCATCACCTAATGTTAACACAAACGGCAGGGCCTGTTGCGACTTGTCCACGTGGTAAGTCACCACATGCGACAGTTACATCCGCTACGTCTGCAGCGGGTGCTGTGCCTTGCAATGTAGATGAGCTTGAAATAGAGCTCATCTATTCTGAAGAGTCTGATAATGCATCCAACTCGAAGGCGGCACCTCCTGCCTCCGGATCATCCGGGTCGGACACTGGCAGAGCCAGGTTGAATGGCTCTTAGGAACGTGGCGGCATGATGTCCAAGATAATCGGACCGAGCGATTCGTCTGATGAATCCTCGTCTCACGCAGGTCCATCTGACACTAGATTGGGCGGTGATGGTGGTGACTCACCTATGCGTCACCAAGAGAGGAGCAAATCAAGTGATCGAGCTGGAAGTGGTGTCAGTGCTCATGCTGACACCACGTAAGAGGCCAGGGACCGAAATGTCCTTCGCCACGCTCCTCAAGTGGAGTCTCCTTGAATGCCAATATCCAAATAAATAGATCGAGTGGCCGGTATGACCACCGAACGGGATCGAATCCCGTTGTTCAACTGTACGAGGACCTGTCCTCCTAATTCCAGCACGAAAACTATCCGTTTTGAGAAAGAGTTCTTCACCGATGTTTACACTCAAAATCGGTGGTACAAATGGCAACCTTGGCCGAAACGGTAAGGCCTTCCTTCGATGATGAAATGCCTTCATCCATAACTTTTAGAGAATTGGCTGTGAGGCCTGGCTCGGTAAACTTGATGCAGCTCGCATCAGGTTTAAGAGGAGAACCCAGTCGGTGTCAATTCAAGTTGCATCGATTGTCAATAGAGGCAGGATTACCCTGTCTCTCGTGGGGTGATTCGTGTCCAGGTTGCCTGGACAGCTCGAACCGTACCCCTAGGAAGGCCTACCTCCCTAATGTTTCCTACTGGAAGGCGCGCATCTCTTCTGAGATAGCCGAAGGGATTGACACTTTGCAATCCCTGTACTCGCGTTTGGGGAGGTCGTTTTCGGACGTCCCTTCTTCGAACGCAGCGGGTAAGTCTCATCATATTGCTCGACGAGACCCAGAACATCAACAATCAGCTGGGCACGAGGCTCCCGGCTGTCCCGCGCCGGTGGATAGCCACGTCAGAGGACGAGGTTACTCGTTTGGAAGCCATTCAAATCGAGGTGGTTCAAAATACGCTCCACTAGAAAGCGTTGACCACCGCTTGAGTCCACCAAAGGATGTGGTGGCGGTCGGAACACCTGATCCGGCTCGAGGGTCGGATCAGCTTGATGTTCAAGAGCTCAACCGTGTAACGGAACAGTTTCAAGATGACTTGGCTCCTGAACGGACTGGGCGTTATGGGCTTGAGGATCTTGTAAGGGATTATTACAATTCCCTAACGTACGATCAATCGAACGATTGTGCCGCTTTTGCGTTCGCGCAACTTGAGAAATCACCCCATATTTATTGTCTTCGTGACGAGCTGACTGCAGCGCTTCAGGACGTCGCTTAACTGCGTGAGCAGGTCTCTTCGCCAGTCGACGAGGCTGGCTCGTTGGAACGGGACCACTCGAAGGTGGTCTCGGTCCTTGACCGCGGAGGTGTCTTTCGCCTCTCGAAACGGGCTCGTACTGATAGTACGGGCGGAGGCGACCGGCGTAAAACGTAGGATTCGTGCGCATCGTACGGGGCAGTTAAATCGTGTATGCGTTTCCCATTCGGCGCAAAACACAATGGACCGATATACCTAAGCAGTAATTAACTGCTGCCCACGTTGGACACTGCACGTTTTGTTACATTTACTGTTGACAGTAAAAATAGGTCTCCTTCATCAAATGAACGAGCATTTTCTCTTCCCTGTTTGTCTGCCATTATGTTTTGTTTTTTGATCGCGTCTATAGTAGCGTCTTGAACGAAGTGGAGAACCGCCTCGCGAGTCAGCAGAAATTCCTCTGCTGATTCATCCTTGTCAGCAGCAGTGCGCTTCGTGTGCGCTGCTGAAAGAGCGTTGCCTTCACCAGTGAGGGTGTCATCGTCCTCACTTTGGCAGTCATTGGCGATGCTGAATATACCAGTATCGTCGTCATCATCGATATCAATCGCATCGACATCGCTATCCATTACGTCGACACCTTTGTCGAAGGGTGATGAGCAAGAACTAGATCGGTTTTTGTTCGAGCGAGTCCACCCCCCGCCCCCTTAAGCTAAGGCCACACTATGAAAAGGCGGGTAAACGTGGATGGCGTAGGATATTTAAGAAGAACGGTTTGTGCGTTGTCGACGCGTGCACCGATTTGTTGATGGCGACTTCCGCCATCGGCAAGTATTCACTCCAACTCGTAAAAGAGTAAACGTACCCTCGATGTATCTCTTCGAGGAAGCGATGGAGGCGTTCTGTCTGACCATACCTTTCAAGATGGTCAGAAGTAGATATATTTGACCATGTTCCAAGTTATGGAGCATGTACTGCCAGAACTTCGCTGTGAAGCGAAGGGCCCTGTTAGACACGAGTTCATGGGGTAATCCGTGAAGTCGTAAGATAGTATCGATGAAGACACGCGCACAGCTATGGAATGTGATTGACTCCGGTGTAGCAACAAGATGTAGTATCTAGCTGAACCGATCAACAAACACAAGAATACCCCTATTCTTGTGAACGTCTTTAGGAAACACGAAGACGAAGTCTATCGATACGGACTTCCAGCACTCTGTCGGAATTGGAAGAGGCTGCAAGGGGGGCAGGGGATGAAGAACTAAGCTTCACCCGTTGGCAAACTTTGCGAGCCCGGACAAATTTGTGCAAGAAATCACACTGGCATGGCCAGTAGGAGTCACGATTTACCGTAAGGTAAGTCTTTTCTCAATGCTCACTTGTTGGTGCATCGTGACACTCATACATGCTGCGCAATCGCAAATCATCATGTACGGGAACGACGACACGAGGTGTGTCGCCGTAGACTGCTGTATAGTACAGCAGTCCATCACGAACCGAATATTGTTCGGTTGAAGAGAGGTATTGAGACGACAAGCTTTTCAAAGCTCGACCACATGGATTGGATTCGTAATCCATCAGCCGCAGAAGAGACTCATCTTCTGCGTATGCTTTTTGCACTTCGTCGAGCAGATTCGACAACGGAATACTCACTGCTAGTGCTGCTACAGTGGGATCACCCCTACTGTTGGGTTAAGCAGTCAGCTCGAAATTGGGCCGACGCGAAAGAGCATCGGCGACGACATTTAGTCGTCCTATTTTATACCCGACGGAGAAGTTGTACTTCGCGAAGAATGACAACCACCGCGCCATTCGTTGTGAGAGGTGTGGACTGTTTACGGCCGTGCGTGACGACGCATGGTCGGTAAACGATGAACTGCCTATCTCCTAAGAGATATACCCGAACCTTGGCCAGTGCATATTTCATGGCAAGGCGTTCCTTGTCATGCACCGGATAATTTCACTTAGCTGCTTGCAGCTGACGCGATTGATAACAAACAACGCGCTCAACGCCGTCTGAGTCGTACTGCGATAACGCGCAGACGATTGCAAAATCGCTGGCGTCACAGACCACATGAAATGGCTTATCCTGATCTGCAATCGCCAAGACAGACGATTGTATCAAGCTTTTTCAGTACCTTCGAAGGAGTACTGACACTCAGCACTCCATGACCACCTTTCGTTTTTCTTTATCAAACGAAAGAGATGAACGGTCATCTCGGCGTAGTTGCGTGAGTATTTGTGCAAGTACGCTGCTAAGCCGAGGAACTTTCGAAGTAACTCAACGTAGACTGTCACAGGCCAGTCGCTAATCGCCTTGATCTTTCCGGATCAGGGCGTACGCCGTTTTTACCCACGATGCAGCCAAGAAGTGGTATTTCGTTCGCTGCAAATTTACACTTCGTGAGGTTCGCGAACAACGTATGCTCTCGCATTAGAGTAAGAACCTTCTGGACGTGGATTCTATGAACTTCCACGCCCGTCTTTCCATCCATAGCCCGGCTATGGACGAAGACATCGACGAAGACATCGCCGAAGTAACTCGGTGCGAATTAGCGCACCGATCGCAACAGATTCGTTATACATCTGTAAAACGTTGAGGGGCGTTACTAAGCTCCTGTGGCATCACTAGCCACTCCCAGAGCATACCACTGGGGGTGCTCACTGCTGTGTACGGGATATACCGTTCACGCATGAGGATCTGATAGAATCCATCCATCAAATTCATGGACGTTTAGATGGTACTCTTTGACATACCATCTGTGATGACATTCTTTCTTGGAATCGGTGTTTGAGCCGGTACTGTTGCAGCATTCAATTTGTGGAACGCGTGCACTATCCGCCACCCTCCTGTGGCTTTTCCCACACAGAAGGTGTAGAGCTGTGTGGGAATGTTGATTCCCTCACATGAATAGCCGCTAAGCGATCAGCAAAGAACTTGTCGATCGATGTGACCCATTCACGAGGCAGTGGCCACTGCTT